CTAGTTTACGTGAAAGCAACTACGAGATGTTATCACGCATCATAAATATAGTACGAAATAATCTAATCGCTTGGGTTACTCTTGCCTCTAAGTAATGAAGATATGAAGTAGGCAGTAGTTTGAATCTGGATTATGTACGAGGTACTGTTGATTAAATTTTTCGATTAACACAGCATTGTAGACTGAATCGGTATAAGTCCAGAATTAATTTAAGCCGAATACATAGCATTACCTGACGAACAGTCTAAACGAGATCTAAGATCGCAGGAAATTTATAGTTCAAACTCACCGTGAATTTCCTCCGTTTGGCCATGGAACTCAGCAATTGGAAATTAGGCAGGCAGTGGTAAAAAAAAAGCAGAACATTCTAGTGGATAGTGGTTAAGCAGAAAGATGAATTTATAGTCGATAGTTAATCTTGTCTTATTTATACCAGTGGATAAGGTACAAAGAGATATGCGTTCGTGTTGCCTTGTGGCTATACTCACGAGTGGTTGATATTTTAACAGACATATTACACAGGAGCATTTACATGCTGCTAATGTTTGTTAAAGAACCACGATAGCCGATTATAATCGTAGTTGATTGGTTAGTTCTGTCGATTGAACGAATTATCTAGGTTTAAATGCTAATCAACATTGACATGAAGCAACGAAAGTTCACAGTAACAGATTAACATAGGCGATGATAAAAATGAAAAAGAATAAGTATAGAATACAATAATAAAGATTATAGTGATAGGTTGCGTTATTCGAAGTCTTTCTCACCAGTGTAGATCACCAACGTAGATGATCTATGTCGAAATGATTGGAGGCCGACTCGAGTTAGACGTGAATCGTGTGACGAACCAACTAACGTCGAAGTCACACCTCGTGGTCAGCACCTTACGTGGACTACCCCCATTGACGTAACAAGGTACTATAGATGCTTTGAAGACTGTACAACACAAAGGACGTTATTACAGAAATATATTGGTTAAGGTAGATACAGGCGAAAGTAAGACCACTGCCGCATGGGCCAGTCCATGGCGTATGATTAACTAATGCACGTTGCTTGTACATGACCTTGGCAGGGAGCGATGATCTGTTCGACATTCAGTGATCCAACTGCCGGATGATTTGGCTAGGGCTCAGTGACATTTCACTGGCCCTACAACTCCTTCAACGCTTTTAGGCATATTTATGTTATATTCTCTTTGTCTTTATAGATTACATACTCAATAAGTGAGTATATATCCATTTAGTTTCTCTGTTTATTAGACACCGTAGTTGTAGTTTATGACCTAAAAGAAAATGCAGCTGTATGTTCTGAACTACCCACCAAACGGATAATGATTATTTTTAACCTACTTTATTACGCTATAATAATCAGATATCCTTATTTGCATTCTCATCTTGCATTTTCCATGCTGGATTCGTTAGCTCTCTTCAGAGTAAAGATCAAGTAACAGGAACATTTAATCTACTTTTTATTAATATAAAAACACTAAGGGATTAGTGGAAGTAATTAGAGTGCCAACACATTAATTCATTCATTTACTAACTAATAGTTCATGCACCCAACTTTGTACCAAGCATTTTGTGCTACTAATGCAGGCCTGGGTATCTAGGTCGAAATAGATGAGGAAAGATTTGAACGTTTGACTTAATGGTTGAATGTCAAATGTTTAAACCGGTATAGCATCGCCAGTGGATACATTATATTTAAATACTTTAAGGTAACAGTTTTGTGAAGCTGATCAGAATTCTCCCAAGTAATGATTGCTTATGGTAACAATCTTTTATGCACGTGTACGGCACCGTTCACAATGCTTCAAATGATTGGAATGTTAATCAGAATATTTTATATAACTCTCTCATTTATTCCTAAATATGATTTACGTGGAGAATAACAAAAGGTTTTTTTGTTTAAATGGTGGACAAACATAGTCAGTATCAAAGAATTAGGAATATTTCTAAGTGTAGCGAGGGGTTTATCTCAGTATGTGAAACTTCAATAGTACAGGCGATTAAATAATATCATTACTATTTTCATTTAGGTTGTAAATGAAATTTTTTACAATAAAGAATATCTGACAATGCATAATAGTACAACCAACATTTGAAGTACGAACCATACTTAAAGCATTCGAATAGTACAGAGATTGACAAGTATGAAATTGAATAGTTCATATGGTAGGTAGCTAAATGGATTGTTTTATACTGCACTACTTTCAATATGAAATTACTTAGGCCTAGAAAATACTATTACTGAGTTAAAAGTCATTTCAAACAAACTGACATTTTTTACATTTCTTAAATTTATTTTGATTGTTAGAGTTGAATATAAAAGATATATACTTATATCCTATGCTTTAGCATTCAGTTAAAAAACTTATTTGTATTTTCAATACACACATTAGTTGTTTCTGTCACAAAGTTACTCTTTGTTTAGCCATAAAACTCACCCCTTCACTAAATAAGTACGGAAAAGTAATAAAAGCCCTGGTACTTCCGGACGCATGAGAAAACCGCCATCAAAATAGAATCCTTTTGATTGCTAACTTAATTACGGGTCTATACATTAGATGTGTTTATCAAGGAAAGTTTATTCATTAATGTATTTGTTAACTAAGAATTAAACGGATAATTTCCCATAGTAAGTGGAAAGCTAAACATAATCATAGTCTTCTACTTGCTGTGGACTATTCTCTTGTATTTTTTTGAATTTCGAGACTAAGGAAATATCAGTACTGAGATTTGAAAAACAGATGTTCAACTCATAGCCTAGGTCACAGCTTCTCACTGAAACTTGGAAAGTTCCACTCAAACTAGCGCTTGGTTATTGTTAACCCAAGTTTATGAAGACTGATCAGTTTATAAAACGGACAGCTTCCTGGTTTTTGATAATTATCTAATGTCAGACACACATGCAAACCACAACTTGGAAAGTATCCACAATCTTCCCATGTTAAGATACTTTAACTTGATGAGCGAAACTACACAAATGGGATTTAAGGTAATCCATTGTCATTGGATAAAAATAAAGAGGATTCAGAAAATTTTCTTTTCGACGAAATCATTAACCTAAGCTGATAATTATCTCCCATAATTTTGACCCGTAAATTATTTTCGTCCTTCTACTCTTGTCTAACACTTGATTATTACGTAACTTCATTTGACAGTTGTTGTCTCGAACCACTTTATATTGCGATCTTCTCTGCCCTTTTATAGGCATACATTTTCCTGATGTGAGTTCCTCATCCGATATTTCGATACCCTATCTAGCTGCTTTTGTAGTGAGTGACCACTTAAGTGGGAAAGACCAATATATTGTCTAATGGACATTCACACAGTGGTTTAGTAAAATGTGAAAACCATACATCCTCTGTACACCTTTAGTTCTCCTTTACATCCTTCATAATTCTTCCAATTATTTTTGTTCCGATTCCTTTATTCAGTTCAATCTTCTTTTGACAAGCATTTTACTTCTGGTGTTACATACTGTTTATGTTTTTCAACATAAGTAGCGTTCACCACACTACCACGCTATTGTTATTTCAGTTGATATCTGATGAATAAACATGTTCTTATGTGGGATCGTTTAATTTTAATGTAGCTTTTAAGATATACGATCTTCTTAATTGTTACATGCAGGGCAGATACACATAATGCATATCTCTATTTGTAAGGTTTACATAGTTAATACTCACAATTACGTTCTTTCTTGACGAAAACCATTTAACGCAACAGCTTTTAAAGCTACACAAAAAGCAATTAGACTACTTCTAGTAGTATAACTAATTGGAAATAATTTTTACCTTGACTGGTCCATCAGACAGATGATACACTGAATTAATTAAGACAATCAGTCCGTCAATACGAAACCATTCCCTTAACGTCAAGATTACTCTATGCTTACATTACAAGCAAACAATGATTTTAATGCGTGTAAAACCCAGTTATACAATGCCTTCTACTTTCAATTACAGTCAATGAATTACTAAGTAATGGTCGATGTCATGTATACCAGGTTTTTTTCAATGCTGATGGAATTCTACCTATCAAGTTGTAATCTAGCCACCAGTCTACGTGACTCGATATCGCGTACAATATGCTGAGACTTAATGTAAGTATAGTCGATAAGGATTCCTATAAACTACCTCTAACCAACCTGTAATCGTAATACATGTTCATACAAATAAGAAAATCCAAATGAAGAGTGGAAATTGCAAACTAGAGAAAATACCTGTTGGTATGAATATATGTACAGCTGAACAGAATACCATCAAATAAAATTGGTCAAATTCGACAGTAAATGACTTACTGTCAAATGATAGTGTTCATTCGTAATCAACTCACAGCTAATGAAGTTATGGACGCTTAAAATGCTCCACTAATACACCACATTTACTAACTACATATAAGTGTAATAGGCTTTAAAATACACCTTATGTATGAGGGCTAGTAATATCACCAGGTTGCAAAAACTGAATTAAACAGATAAACATTTAAAGTTCTAACTAAATGGTTAGAACCTGAATTTTCTAACCTCCAAACTACTACTTGATACTATTTGGTTAGAAATTTCATATCTTAAATGTTTCACTATTATTAATTATACTTAAACAACACGAAAATGTGAGAAATGTCCATTTTTAACAGAAAAAAATTCACATAGCATGCTAAAATGAAATTTTTTCTGTCTTAACAACAACCAGATAGTTAGATATAAATTTCTCCGTTTGGTATCCTGATAAAACAAAAAAATTATTTTATTTTTTGAAAAATATGTATTTAATTCTGTAATTACTCTCTTTCTTTCTCTCTCTCTCTCTCTCTCTCTCTATATATATATATATATATATATATATATATATATAATATAAAACTTTTATGAAGGAAAGGAAATAGATTACAAATTATGACGGATATGATCAAGAAAATAGGTCATCCATAATATGTGTGATGGTAAGCAACTAGACATAAACAACGACAACAACAACAATAATAATTACGGAAAATTTCAATCTGTGTCATCCATCTAAAATAAAGAAAAAAAACGTAGTATAATGTATGTTCAATTAAACAACTTATTAACAAGTTAAAACATGCTAATGTACACTTCATTAAATTTTAAATACTTTTTTTTCAGTTGAAGAGAAAAGATTATAATCCACAACAATCTATTTATGAGCATTATTGTGGTACGATATATGCAATTTTGTCAATTAACGTTTAAATGATAGTTGTTATTATAATTTATTCATTGGTTGTAATGTAACAAGCTGACTATTGTAGAATGAATAGTTAATTTATTGAAATGAATTTCTCGACAGTTTGCTCGGATAGTGATATTAATTTGGAAAATTAAGTATATAAGTAAATCGTTATAGTGGATGATGACAAATAACTATGTGCTTGTGAGTTAAAAATATTAAGGAACTAACTCTATAGTTGGTGTATAAAAATGATGCCCGTATATTCATTCTGATCTGTTTGGTTAAAAGATATTATCAATTTATACGTTATATGGAATAAATAACACACTAGAAGACTTCTTTCTAAGAAAAGTCAAGAAGTATAGAATGCTCAAAAATTTCACTATTTGTTAACTTTAATAATTCTGGATAATACATTAATAAATGTTGTGGACATTTGCAACAGTTACTCACTGAGTAATAACCAATGTCATGGTTTTTAGTTCATAATGATGAAAGAATATCAAAGATTAAGTTGTGATATGGACATTACGGAAAATAGATTAACATTGGAGTACACTTCGTTTTGATGTTACGTGGTTGGATTTAATCGCCTGAAAGTCGTTTACCTAAGTTGTTTGTTGGTTAGAATCCATAAGTAAAGCAACAACGATCGGAAGTTCATTTTCCTTTCAACATTAAAAACCAAGAAGTCTATCAATGTCCGAAAAGTTCAAATGACAAGCAGCATAAAAATGGATAACACTTACCAAATGCTCAACTTTGAGAACACAATTGGGCGATACAGGCTGATTATCTTTTGTTTCAACAAAATGAGGTATTGTAATATCTTCCAAGTTCAAAAACTTACGACTTTCTGAATGAGTAACATTGATTCCCGGGATATCGTCATTGCACAAAAGACCGAAACCTATGCATTTGAAGAGGATATATTATAAAGAATCTAATACATTACAAGTTAATCGATATATCTTTTTAAGTATTCCATCTACCTTCTGGAGATGAGATAGATAAGTCTATTACTTACGCCTGTTACCCCTCGTGGAGGAGCATAAACCGCCCACCGGCATCCTCCATCAAACTCTGTCCTAGACAATTCGTTCCAGTTGCTATTCATCCTTTTAATATCTGCTTCCCATTCTTGGTACAATGTTTTCCTTGGTAATCCTCTTTTCCTATTCCCTTCAGAATTCCAAGTTAGTGCTTGCTTCGTCATGCAGTTTGATGATTTCCGCAATGTATGTCTTATGCACTTCCATCGTCTTTTCCTAATTCTCTCTTCATCTGGAAACTGGTTTGTTGTCTTCCGTAGTAGGCTGCTGTTGATGGTATCCGGCAAACGGACATTGTGTATCTTATGTAGACAGTTGTTTACAAATACTTCTACTTTTTTATGATGATTGTGGTAGTTTTCCAAGTTTCAGCTCCGGACAGTAGAACTGTATTGACGTTCGTATTGAAGATTCTGTCTTTGATATTGGCTGACAGTTGTTTTTAGTTCTATGTGTTCTTCAACTGTAGGAATGAGGCCCTTGCAGATAAGTCTATAGTCGTTAATAAAAAAATCAGCCCACTTTTACATGATTTAAGAGTTGATGATGTTATCCAGAACAACAATAAATATCTCTCAATTAAACTGCCAGCTCATAAAATGCAATACAAATCTTCCCTATCATTTTATAACAAGTTGTTTCTTGTGGTCACATGTATACAGGTGCATACTGGCCTTTTTATCCTGTTTATATATAGTTTTCATCTCAAATACGAAAAAAATAAATTGGTATAGACAATATACATTTAAATACCTTGTGCAATTGTTTCCAGCCAAAACGACAACTTGTTATCATTAGCAGCACGTTGAGATGAGACATTGCCTCCGAGAAGATTACGATCAATAAGATCCTGGCGCCAACTATGAATAAATGAGTTATATGCTCGAGCAATTTCAAGATGATATGTGCTGCTGTTGGATGTAGCATCATTAATATGATTGTTTTCATTACTATTATTGACGATTTCTCTACTTGGTTGAGCATGCTTACGATAAGCGAACAGGTAAGCGATAGCTTTAGGACGCAATAAAGTTGCAGTGAAAGGATCAGTCACCAGTTGAATTATTTCTTTCTCCAAAAGTCTACAAGCTAAATCATGCAAAGTGAGTAGTTTAATAAATTCAAGTACTAGAATAAACCTTAGTTCCAAAACATAACTGGTAATAGAAACACACGATAGACTTTCATAGAAAATACCGAACAAACATTGGTGATGTGACATTAGGTCTCCTGAGGTATTAAGCCGAACTTATGTAAATTTCTTTCTTATGTTCATGAAGTGGATGTCTCTAATTAACTTTTTACTTAAGTATTAAAAAATAAATATATACAGTTTATTATTCTTTCTAACCAGACGTTTTTTAAACTGAAAAGTACTTAGATCGGAAGATAAAAATTATGATGAAGCTAACAATTTTTGTAGATTGGAAATTTATTCTACATTTAATAAATCAAGACTTTATTTATTATTGTTATACTAAAACTGTATTCTGTAAAAACTATGCGAAGCGATGATTACCTATAAAATTCACGTTATTTCTGTTACGAAATAAAATATTGAAAAACAATAGATCGTAGATTATCTCAAACTGCTGCCAAAATTTCAGGAACATATTAGGCACCATAAAGTCTATAACATGGGCGATGGGTTCATTTTTACACGCTTTGGGTCCCCTACTAGAACTCACTGACAATTGCATAACAGGAACCTGAAGCATTGCTTTGACTTCTGTTGTGATCAATCCAAGTTCTGTCGATTGAAAAACTATCAACGCTTTTCCTAGAGAAGGGAGCTTCGTTTATACTGTTTTTCTTCCTCCTCTACATTTGACGATGAGTGATCACAATGAAGTTACATGAGTTCATCTCGAGGCTGTAATGCTTACAACGCAGGAAGGCTCATCATGTTAATAACTGTTCTTTTACACGGTCTACTGTCATTATTCGCTCAGATAACATCATATAGATGCAAGCACTTAAACTTGAGTACAGAGGAGGAAACATAGTGACAGGATACAGCAGGACTGCTAACAACAGGTTAGTTATCTATATATGGCGCAACCAGGCACATGTAGCAGTAACACGGCTCCTAGCAGACTCTCGACGACTTATTTGCCTTTCGTACTAGAATCTATTCTAAAAACCATCACATATGATGGGCCTGTAAATTATTACAGAAAGTATGTAAGAAAGATCGCACTTAACAGATAGAGTCGAGTAACATCACACCGTGAATAATGTTCTGAAATAATTCTTAGCATCAACATCATCATTGTTAAACAACCTAGTATATACTACAGTAAAATGTCATAGGATCGATTAGTAGTAGTAAGTTTAAGATCATGGCTAGTCGACTAGAACTTGTAGTTCGTGCATAATGAGGGACAGCTTCATTTCGGAATAAAAAGTTCTTATATTTTATTTATTCATTGGTAAAATCTTTGCTAACTTGCCAACTTAATTTAAAGTAAAAATTATGTGGTATGTCAGTAGCTTTTCTTCTAATCCAAAATGTGAGGATACTCCAATGAATTTTCCTTTAAACAACGTACTCATAAAAAGAACGAAAAGTGGACATTTTTACGCGAGACAGTGTAGTTTAACGAGATCTTTAAATAATGTCAATAATGATCACTGTAATGCTACATGAAAAATTTCATCATATGAAACATACCAACTTCAATTTGTTGTTGGGAGATTAGGTCTTCAAAATCTTGAACTGAGTTTATTTGAATGGAATTTGATGCCAGTGTGTTTTGAAGCAATGATTTGCTAGTTAATTCCGAACTTGCAGTCAGTTGTTCGCTTGGATATTCACAGTCTATTTCTTTCGTGAACGAGGAAGTAGCATGAAGTTCTTCATCCGCTAAACGCCGTCTTTTCGCCAAAAATTCTTCTGTCAAGTCGACTGGATCACTAGCAGGACGAAGAGGTGGAAATGAATTAAGAAGAATATTACGGGATTCAATTACAGATGCAGTCTCGGAATCAGTATTGATTTGTGTGATGATTTCCTCCAAACCAGGAAACATTTCAGGTGACAGCCAAACATCAGAAGAATTTGATTGCTTTGAAATTGGAAGTGGCACTGATGGATTAAGACCCCGTTTTCTAAGGCAGGCAAAGAAACGTTGAATCCAAGGATTTGATATCCGTTGAACTTTTAAGCTAAATTTAGGCAAAAATAATAAAGCGGTAAGTTAATAGAAGAAAAAGTATCTTACGCTTTATTGTCTACGGGCAAATATTTATTTTTAGACTATGAAAAACATTGACGCTTTACAGCTACACAGTATAATATACTTGGTAAGTTTAACTTGAATTTGTGTGGTGTGTTAAAGAAAATTTAAAACATCATCATGGTCAATATCCAATAGACATGTCACTATTAACATAAATATTATTGGTGGTAGTAGCAGTATATATGGATTTGTATATACATATTTGATAGCAGAAGATCAGGTAAACCAACATGTACTACAACACTAATTCATAATTACAAAAAGTTTGTATCATAGAACATGGTTGATAGCTTGCATTTCGGTGTGAAAAACTATTAATTTTGAGCTAAAGAAACAGAATATAGTTTAAAAAAACGTGTGACCTCGATATTGCTTCCATACTTAAATAACACAGCAACCCATAATACATGGAACTGAAGATACAGAGAATCAATGTGCATAACTGGTGATAACAGAAATTAGATTATTTAAAATCTAATTTAGAAATTACAAAAGTGGAAAATTATATTTATGTTAAAGAGAAAACTTAGCGCCAATATAGTTTAGTAAGTATTCAAGTAATTTCATATCCATCTTTCGAATACTTGTAAAAACCAACTACACAGTACATGAATTTGATTATTGAATAATTGTCCGATTAAATATGAAACAAATAAATGAATGGTCAACTGTTACGAGATGCTTAGAATATTGTAGTTCATAAAACAAAGTATACAAATGAAAGACAATAATTCATTTGTATAAGTCTAGATGAAATGATTTAGAATTGATAAACATCTACCAACAAATCCACTACAGTAAATTAATCACAGACCGTTTTATACGTTGCTGGCCTTTGTTTTCAATGAAACTGTCAGACCAAATTTCCCTAAATATAGTGCTTAAGATGTGAATTCAAGGAGAAATCGAACTAGTTTGTCATTGACTAGAATGTGTTCATTACATTGATTAAATGTACTGAGTATAATGATAGTGAAGCGATGAAAGTATGAAAAAACTACTTAGGGCCATAAAGAGTGAAGGTATCTTAAGAAATACTTGATGACAAGAGTTAAAAACAATTAAATGACTGGCAACTGAAAGATAAATCTTATTCATTGTTTTTGTTATTGAATAATACATATTTGTTGTACAGGTCATGTTACGTAATAACCTTTCTGAAACTCACTACGTCTGCAAAATGAAAAAAACTACGAGGAACTAAAGAAGTCAAAATGAACTGTACAAAGCGAAAGGATCAACTATAGGATAAAAAAGGTTAGGAGAACTTCTTAGTGTTAAGATTATAGTCAATAATACTCATAGTTTTAACCACTATGCATTACACTAAATACAAAACATGCTGAAATGTGTTTTGGAATTACTGTATGTTAAGATGTAACCCACTCAATTAAATCACAACTGCTTAAACTTCTTTATTTGATTATTCGTAAACAAATATGTGGAAGTTAAAGTATGCAAGAAAACTAGAGAAATCTTATGATCTGTAGTTAATTTGAAAGTTAATAAAATCATATGTAAAATCACTGCTCACATCCTATTTGATGAAGGATTTTCCACGTCGTTTTCGTCTTTCTTGTTGAGTTCACCACCATCATCATCATTCTCACTTTCATCTGAATAATTTAACATCATGGAGTTAATAAAAGAATCCATAACTGATAACTGTTCCTGAGATGGGCAATCTTTACGCAATTTCATAGTGTTTGAAGACTTAACAGAACATTCCGTATTGGAAGTAGAAGGCTCACAGGAAACTGGTAAACTTGGAAGTTTCAGATTGCGAATATCTTCACTAAACGCCATATCAGTATACATGAGCGATATCTGATCACCATGAATTCTAAAAGGTCAATCGAACAACATTTTAAATGGTAATAGTATTCCATTGGATTTTTTGACTTTGTAAGTACATGATAACGAAAAATCACGATGCATTTTTATTTTCGTATAACAACTGATGATTGTGAATTAAACCCAAACTAACTTGGAATAACAACAGATAATCACTTCTGTAATAAATGACCGGATACATGCATCTACACTAACACTATCACAACTGAGGGAAACATAGCCCCGCAGTGAATAGCTAATAACATTGTAGTTAGTATGTTTATTAGCGAAAGCTATAGTTATATCTGTTTTTGAAATTGTTAGCTAGGATAAAACCACATGTTTAACATCTTGTCGTGAAAGTAAACAGAAATTTACAGACAAACAAACAGATGAAAAACCAGTTATTGCTTACTCTGGAGTTAAAACTCCTAGTCTAACGGCACTTGTCTGATTGTACACTCTCCGGACAAGAGCAACACCACTAATCTCATAAAGTGCTTGAGCCAACGGCTGTTGAACAGGATGGGCGATTGGTTACATCATCTTCAGATTGTTTGACTGACTGGGCAACAAAAACCAACACACTTTCACCAGTGTAAAGGTTATGAGGGATCTGGTCAAGGACGAATGAGAATGAAGATGAACACATACTTAAGTTACGTTGATAAATATAGGCAAACAGTTTCATTAACTGACAGTCTATTTGCCCATAATTACATACCTTACCCCGCTGAATGCTTGGAATAGTGGGAAGATACCCATGATAAAATGGCTTTAATTAATACATGTATCCGTCAAAAGAGGTCATGAATCACAATCATAGAACAGCACATAGTAGACTGCGTATAATGTACCTTACAGCGATTCTCTTTAATGACTATAAAACCTGTTTGTACCCACATTTTGTCTCGATGCCACAAGTTACCAAGTCAGGGAATATGTCTCTTCATGTTTGAACGCAAGCTTGGTAAGGAACAAGTGGTTTCTGGAACATAATTATAGACGATTATCAATGTGACCGACTTGTCACAATAAATTTACTATTTAAACTGATGAAACGTCCAGGTGTTGAAATCAGTTAGTAACAAAAATCTCAGGCGACAGTAAATAGTATTCCATATAGTCAGATTACAAGTAAATGTTGCAGAGTAAGTGATTATATACGTTGTGAGAGTGATGATGTCAGTAAAAAAAGACAAGGAGAGCCAATGAAAGAACAGAGATTGAATAGGTCACTGTTATGTAGAGGGGATTTCTGTGTTATTAAATTTGCAGAGTTGTACTTCGGGTATATTTGCAAAATTTATTTACTTGAACACTTAAATATTGGTACAAGAGTGCACCAAATATATGTGCGCCACACAAAACAATGAGAATTTAAGGAGAAGGAAAAAGAAAAATAGGTAAGGAGCGTAAAAAAAGAACGATAACGGAGAGATTGGTGTAGGGTAGTTTAATAATAATAACAGTAATAATGGAGGAACGGAAAGGTACAATCAGAGGAAATCTTTCAGTTAAGGAAGATACAACCACTTTTTACAAAGAAAGTAAAAGAAGGTTGCAGCAGGATCGCCACTGGATTCTATTCTGAGCCATATCTGATAACGTCTCTAGCCACTGTGTAGCACCATCTCTCGGACCCCAACCAGGGAGTCGTGAAGGACCAACACAATCCAGTCCTTTGCAGCTTTCTTTCATGCCACGACACCATGTCGTATACTGACCACCTCTCCGCTTTTTCCAACCAGTCCCAGAGTCGGCAAATAATGCACAACGTGGAATTCTCTGGGACGATATTCGTAGAACATGTCCAAGCCATCGAAGTCGGTGTTTCAAGATGGTGACACCGATTGCATTATCGTCTCTGTGCCCGAACACACGATGTCGAACCTCTGCATTACTAACATGGCGTTGCCACTGGATGTGAGAAGAAATCGGCGTGAGAAACAATGTCTTTTCGTCATCTCCGCCTATGTCCCGACAGATTGCAGCCCGGATGCAATCAAGGATGAGTTATACCACCAGTTATCTGTTCTTCTCCAGAAAGTGCGTTCGACAGATATTGTAGTACTAGCCGGAGACTTGAATGCTCAGGTCGGGCGTCTAGGCACAGAAGAGAGTCGTTTAGGTGGCCGATAGGGACTCGTTGGTTGCAGGTCAGATAACGGGGACCGTTTACTGCAACTTTGCACAGACCACAACCTGTTTCTGGCTAGCACTAACTTTCGGCACAGTCATCGCCGATGTGCCACCTGGCGTCCTCCCTCTGCATCCCAAGCCTGGACTCAGATTGATCACATCGCGATCAGCTACCGCTGGCGTGGTTGTGTACAGGACTGCCGCTCCTTTTGGAGTACCTATCTGAACTCTGGTCTGCGCTAATCTTACCTTACTTTTTAGTGGACAACGAAGTGACCGCCACCAACGGATTGATGTTAGCAAGCTGGTTGCAACTTCTGTTGCATGTAAGTATCGAACCGAGCTAGCTTCTAGGCTAGCTACCATTCCACCGAAAAGTATAGATGAGCATTGGTTGCAATTGCATGACGCCATGAAAATGGCGGGTACAGTCAGTTGTGGGTTCGCGAAACGTCCCGCTTATAAGCACTGGGTTTCTTCTAGTTCTTTACAACTCATTGAAGCCCGTCGGTCTACTCCGGGTGACCGTGAGTTTGACCACAAACGAAGGATATTACGTAATGAAATTGAGCAAAGCTTGTGTAAGGACCGAGAAGCCTGGTGGTCGGAGCGTGCTAATGAGCTGGAAGCAGCAGCTGCATCTGGTAATTACCGGAAGCTCTTCCAACTCATCCGAGCCACTGGCAGCAAGAATTCTGGTGTGAGTGAAACAATCTGCGAGGATGATGGGATGCCAATCACTAACATCCACCGACGTCTTGGACGATGGGCAGAATTTTTCGAAGGGCAGTTCAACTGGCCTGCTGCTCCGGCAACATCGGTCAGACTGTCCTGCCCTCCATGGCCGGTGACGACTGATCCACCAAACGAGGAGGAAGTCCGCAAGGAACTCCAACTCTTGAAGCGTTACAAATCACCTGGCCCAGATGACTTACCTCCGGCTCTTTTTAAAGATGGTGGTGACTTTCTGACTAAGGAACTGACGACATTGTTTACAAAGGTCTGGGAGCAAGAGAGTGTACCAACGTCATGAAATGAGTCGATAGTTGTCCCTATCTTTAAAAAGGGTTCACGTCGTTCCTGTAACAACTATCGGGGGATAAGTCTACTTCCGATTGCGTCCAAGCTATTGGCTTCCGTCATTCTTCGTAGGTTGTTCAAAACCCGAGAAAGATTGACTCGCGAGGAGCAGGCTGGGTTTCGTTCTGATCGAGGATGTATTGATCATATCTTCACCCTCCGCCAAATGTTAGAACACCGCCATACTTATCAAAGGCCAACAATCGTAGTGTTTCTTGACATCAGGGCTGCCTTCGATTCGTTGGATAGGATTGTTCTCTGGGATTGTCTATTGAAGAAGAGTGTGCCTGAGAAGTTTATTAACATCCTAAAAGCCCTATATACAAACACTTCAGGCAGAGTGAGGGCATACAATCACCTTTCTCCATTTTTTCCATTCGAGCAGTCGGGTTAGACAGGGTTGCCCAATCTCACCATTTCTCTTCGACTTTGCCATCGACGACATTCTAGAAACAGCTCTGATGGATGTAAGTAATGGTGGTGTAGATCTGTTGCCTGGAGAAAAACTTCTCGACCTTCAGTATGCGGATGATATTGTCTTACTGTGCGATAATGCCCAAGCCATGCAATCCGCACTTAATCAGTTGGCAGTCAGTGTCCGTAAGTATGGTATGTGCTTTGCACCTTCGAAGTGCAAAGCACTTCTACAAGACTGGCAGGATTCTAATCCTGTACTCACTCTGGGTGGTGAACAGATAGAAGTAGTTGAGACGTTCGTGTATCTAGGTAGCTGGATAAGTGCTGGTGGGGGTGTGAGTGATGAGATCAATGCACGTATAGTGAAAGCCAGAGCGGCTTATGCTAATCTGGGCCATCTTTGGCGCCTTCGTCATGTTAGTCTGGCTGTAAAAGGTCGGATCTACAACGCGTCGGTGAGAGCAGTTTTGCTCTATGCCTGTGAAACCTGGCCTCTCCGAGTTGAGGACGTTAGACGACTCTCTGTGTCCGATCATCGTTTTCTCCAAAGGATCGCTAACATCCAGTGGCAACGCCATGTTAGTAATGCAGAGGTTCGACATCGTGTGTTCGGGCACAGAGACGATAATGCAATCGGTGTCACCATCTTGAAACACCGACTTCGATGGCTTGGACATGTTCTACGAATATCGTCCCAGAGAATTCCACGTTGTGCATTATTTGCCGACTCTGGGACTGGTTGGAAAAAGCGGAGAGGTGGTCAGTATACGACATGGTGTCGTGGCATGAAAGAAAGCTGCAAAGGACTGGATTGTGTTGGTCCTTCACGACTCCCTGGTTGGGGTCCGAGAGATGGTGCTACACAGTGGCTAGAGACGTTATCAGATATGGCTCAGAATAGAATCCAGTGGCGATCCTGCTGCAACCTTCTTTTACTTTCTTTGTAAAAAGTGGTTGTATCTTCCTTAACTGAAAGATTTCCTCTGATTGTACCTTTCCGTTCCTCCATTATTACTGTTATTATTATTAAACTACCCTACACCAATCTCTCCGTTATCGTTATTTTTTACGCTCCTTACCTATTTTTTCTTTTTCCTTCTCCTTAAATTCTCATTGTTTTGTGTGGCGCACATATATTTGGTGCACTCTTGTACCAATATTTGTGTTCAAATAATAAATCAAATAAATATATTGATATTTTAAGAATGTCATTACTATATATTGAAACTTACTGGAAATAAATAGCCAATATTCATTTTCAAAAGTCTACATAAAATGGATGCAACTCACTTCATGAAACAAAAAATACCTAGAAAGTACACGTAAAAGAGAGTAGGTATGGGAGACTCACATTGTCAGCACTCGTAAATCCAATAACGCTGAAACACTTTTCTGAAGTGGGTTTTATGGAGGCCATATCTTCTTCACCAAAGGGGACTACAGTCCCACCATACCGGTAACCTTTATTGTAAACAGTAAGATAATCGAAGAACACACAGTTGTGGGACAAACATATCTAGGACGTAATTACTTGGAAACTAGAAGACGAATCAGTATCCTGAAGTTTAATGGTCTGACGAATCCATCAGTTTATTTATTTATTTTAACACATAGATAGTGGTAAGATGAGGTCCCAAATACATATCCGCCACATAAATCTCATTTGATATGTGTGAGGGCTGTGATACTGCCCGAGTGCCCAAACCGAAGCAGGTGGTTTTCTTAGGGGGCCACACCCGGAGTCTTCGACCTGAAGGTCTGATCCACAAGGCAGTGGAGCATCGTAAGGAGATGCAGTCCCATGGAAGCCGGTGACCAACAATTGGTTCATACGCCACTTGTTCCCACAGGATACTGGAGCCCATGTGCACCATTGGTTTGGAATCAGGGTTTTCCAACCCCCTAGGTGGACTCCCCATGTTCACCAACCCGGTTAAAGCGCCGGACATTCGCGTTTCGTCCTCTCAACTTCGTAAACAACACCCCTGTCACGAGAAGGCAGGGAGTAGGACTTCCGTGGCCATGTGGGAGCATTTCGAGAGAAAGAGCAGACTCTCCCCACTCTCGGCCGTACCAGGGCATTTGGGGACTCCCATCAGTAGATAAGTTCACAAGTTAATTGACAGGTTGAATGCTCAACAAGCGACCTCCAGTTTTCATTCTCTTAAATCAAAAATGATACTCATTAATTAGGCAAAAATCGCAGCTGGATATATATCTACTTGAAAATGTGTCGAATGTTTAGGCATATCAATATAAATCAACTACATATAGAACTACCGTTAGTCTTTAGATTGTTCTGTATATTAACAACGATGTTTAATCCCTACTAATAATTCTTGCTTAATCAATAGAGAGGATTATACATCACACAGATAGAGTGGCCGAATTAGTAGTTCAGATGCGCTGTCACAATCACAATATTAAATTTCGAGTATCTTTTTGTTTTAAAATACCTGTAGAAGTAGTATTATTTCCACACTTCTGCCTATTGTCCGAAAAACAAACATGTAACTCTGGACGTTCCAATAGCCCCTTGTACCCAAAGATTCTGTTTATATTAAGCTGGTTATATACCAGGATAGTAAAAATTAAACTTACTACGGAACTTCTAGTACGTGTTATATAGTTTATTCAAATTGATATATGATTAAAGAATTGTAACTAAGCTTAAGTTTTCGAGAACATTTTAAGTTAAGTATTATTCGACATTAAACATTGTGAACATTTTACAGAAATCATTATTTTAACTTCACAACGTTTACCATAAATTCCTTTTGTAGAATTCTTACCTCGAGTAACTTCAGAAGAGTTTAAATCAGAAGGATCTGCATCTTGTGTACAATATTTTGTAACAGCGCGCAGTGGAAGAGAAGGATCTGGGGCGTACAGTATCTTCATAGTTGGTGGATGAGCCTCCTTTATATATGTATAGCCGACAACTGGGATAGTGATCGAATCGCCAATTTGCAAACCTACATTCCAACCACGTTGCGAAACGCTACGGGTTTCGAATATACTCAATGCAGTGACTGCATCGCTTAAGAGAACAAAAATAAAAACATTTAGTAGAGGTTTGTCTCAATAGATACACACTACACCAAATACTGAAGGGACTACAAAAAATTCTAGCCAATATATGAGCTTAAGCTAGAACTGTCGAAGTTAAGGTATTCTTACCGTAAAGAGAAGGCAGGGTTTTACATATTGAGCGAAGATTGAATAATTAATTATTCAAGCTACTTCATAACGGAGTCAACAACTGAATTTCTTTCGTGGCGTTAGGGAATTGTCTGACAATTCATAGATGAATCAATCACGTACTCACGTCTCCGACCAAATGGCTTAAGCATGGTGGTCCAGTTTCAGTTACTAGATTGGATAAGAAATTAGCTATAGTCTGGAAACATGACGTAATCTCACCTCACAGGTCTTGATCACTGACCGTTTTAGTTTATAGAAAGACAAAAAAATCCTGGTGATAATCACAGAACGATCAGTTAGACTAATATAGTGCCTAAAGTATCACCCTCCATAATCATCTAGAGCTTGAATGGGGCTCGCAAAAAGCAAACTCTGGAAAACTAGGCTGACCTCAGACTTAGATGTAGACCAAATATTCACCATTTGCCAGATCTCCAAGCACAAATATGCCTACCGCCGTTCAACTATCGTTGTATTTTGACCTAAAGGCAGCGTTCTTTTGTGTTGATAAATAGGTTTTATTGAAGGGTATATCATTGAAAGTCGTACTAAAGTACATTAACCTTGTACACTACTTAACATAGTCTTATGACAGCCTATGAAAACGATACAAGCATATTTGGAGTGCTTTCTTCTTCATCTAGATAAATGTTGCTTAACGATTAGTTCATGCAAACTGAATTAACAATCGAGAGTAAAGTACTTGGGTATCGATCACTTGATTTATATTTCTTAATCTTAACGTTGCAGTAGAATTTTGTATTACGAGCATTATTATAATCCAATTACTCAACATAACCTTACGACTGATTTTTGCTACTCCGAAGGCGTTATTCAAAAGGTCTAAAAAATGGGAAACTCGAATGAACAACTAACAGATTTATAGACTGATATGGTGTTTTTTATGCTACTGTCCAACCTAATCTTGCTTCGACAAACATCCTACGTCGAAATAAACAGCGACTTTCTACACATTTTTTCATGACCAAACAATCTGAGCAGCTACAAGTTCACAATCCGATTGTTTAATTAAACCTTTCTAGAATAATGTGCCTAACCTCATCACTTGCGACGGAATGGTTCCGCTAAACACAAAGTATAGTATGTAAATATCTAGGACTAAACAATTATTAGGTTCAAATAAGACAAATAGCGCTACTAACCTACCTAAAATCATATGATTCTCCGTTTAGTTGATCCCAGAGTTCAGCTAAAAAAGAAATGGAGGGTCTAGTTTTTGGTGATGGATGATGGTGATGAGAAATGGCATGAGATGGCCCAGGTTCATCTCGGTTTTCAGGTGAGATATTAATACTCTTCTTCAAGTCACAACCAATCAAGCTGAATTTAATACCTGAAGACTGGAGACTTTCAGATACCCTGGAGACATCAGAATCGTCAACCGAACCATATAAATTGCTGACAAGCAACAAGTGCTTTTCTTTTATGTTTCTTTTATTCCTGAGAGTTGGGAATACAAATGAATTAGGATTACTTGCAACGATTAAACAAGTGGTCAGCGCCTACCATTAGTGCATCAACAACTATATATAACTATTAAATTCATTAAACAGTACCATCTCCTGTCGAGAGTGATAATAAATCTGGGTCTAGAAATTCCAAGACCTTCCAACTTATAGGAGCGAGTTCAAAAGCCAAACATATATTTTGAAAACTTCCTTCTTCATCAGCTAAAGGATTGTCAGTAGCATCAGAGCCGCAGAGAATAAGTGCAACTTCATCTTTTGATTCGGCGAAAAACTAGATAGAATATGACAGGTTGACAGCAATCTTTTGGACTTACTTTCTTTTCCAATAACAGCCTTACGCACTCAACAGCTTCTCTGAAATTAGGATTCATATGAATTCCTACATCGAGTACAACTCCAAGAGCAGTCTAAACACTGTGACAAATAAAATTAGCTTACTGCCATCGTATCTGTAACGGCTCACTTTTAGCTTGCAGGTACTTCGGGTGCTAGGGGGGGTGCAAAGCAGCGTGGACGAGAAAAGTTGGATAGGAATAGAACAAGAAAAAAGGTAAGTCATCGAATTAGTACCCACACAGAATGGACTTAACTTTAGTGAGTGGATAAAACCATACTATGCCGATCGTCCTAAGGAGAGTTAGAATCAACTAAACCGGTGTTAAATACTAGAACGAACTTAAAATTCCTGTTGTGGATTATTGGTGGATGGGACCCATGATTCTCACCATATTTTGTATTTTGAAATAAATGGACGGTCTTTCATGTCGAGTGAACTTTCAGTTAGTATGTTAGTCTGAAGAGCATTATGGTTGAATGCTAGTGTTTAGCAGTATCAGAATAGAGTTAGGGAAATTTAAGGCTGAGAATTAAGGTCTGGTAGGGTTGTATAACGACAGATTTTGGCCTAAATTACTCTTATTTGACCCTTGCACGTTTGTTAACTGTGATAAAACTCCAAACCGCTTGCACTTTCATCGTTTTTCTAAAGTTTAGAGCTTTTCCACAAAAGCTGAATTCTGCCTTACTATTTCTGATCAGTTGATCTCGAGGTTATCCTTAAAATCTCCCAAGGTTGTTCGTATAGTATGGTCTTACCTGAAAGTGATTGACAGCAATCAGATGTATCGTGAGATGACGAAGGTAAATCCTAAGTATAATGACATACGGTCACGAGCCCATCACAGTGCCCTTGACTCATATTTGGCGCATTCCCAAATTTCGAACGGTTGTTGACAAAACAGAAGAAACTTTTGTTTCAAATGGTTCAAATGGTTGTGGACGAAGTAGAAGAAGCTTTCGCCTAACAGGCTTCCGCGTCTAGTAGAAGTTGCGTCTACAATCCGTCCTGTTGTGCTGTCTCTAGTTTCTGGTAGTTATCCCTTAAGTTCAAATGGTTCAAATGGTTGTGGACGGAATAGAAGAAGCTTTCGCTTAACAGGCTTCCGTGTCTAGTAGCAGAAGACCGCCAAATCCTCCAGGCAGGAACCTAGGTATGTTAACAATAAAAGAGGAAAAATAAATTGGTAAATCATAGTGTGATGCTGTCCTTGGTCCTTAAGAATAGGTCAAGTTGCATCTTGAAGGACTCCTGCGAAGTCGCTTGGTCTAGCTCGGCCGGCAGCGAGTTTCAGCTTTTGACAACTCTTAAGTAGTAGAAGTTGTGTCTACATTCCGTCTTGCTATGTTGTGTTTCCAGTTTCTGGGTGTTACCCCTTAGGTTATTATTCGAACTAAGCTTAAGTAGGTGTTTAAGAGGATGTCCAGAAGTGTTAAGAATACTATAAGCCATTAATAAATCACCTCTAAGACGCCTATATTCTAGTGGGTAAAGGTCTAGTGAACGGAGGCGTTCTTCGTAAGGCTTAGATTTGAGTCCTCGAATTGATTTCGTGGCTCACCGTTGGATACGCTCCAAAGTGACCTTGTCCTTTTGGAGTGAGGGGGGAGTACTATGTTTCCGTACTCTAAATGGGGACGGATGAAACTATTGAAGATTATATGGAAAGTTCTTCCGTAGAATTGTCCAAAAATGGGCTTCAACGTTACCAGTGCAAGGTTTGCTCGGAAGGCATTTTTGTCACAGTAAGCGTAAGACTTTAAGTCATGGGGCACCAGGACTCCTAAATCTTTTTCTACTTGTGATACTACTAGAGAGGAGTTTCCTAAGTTATAACTGTAGTTTGCGACATGTCGCAGATGGACTACTTTACACTTTGAAGTGTTAAAAACAAGTTCATTATTATCTGCCCAATTTTGGAGTCGAGTCGGATCCTCCTGAAGTGCCTGTATATCTCTTGATTGCGTATCTCCCTACAAAAAGTAACAATTCTGATATGACCTGTTAAGTAAGATCATTTGCATGAATCAAGAAGAGAAGAGGTCTAAGTACTGAGCCCCGGTTGACCCTACTAGGATATTCCATAGCCTGAGATAAAGTGGAATTACCACTAACCTTAAAGTGTCGATTTTTCAGGGATGAAGATAGCCCATCGACTAGGGGTGGTTTGATACCTAGTCGTTTGAGCTTGTTGATAAGACACAAGTGGTTAACCTTATCAAAAGCTTTTGAGAAATCAAGGTAAATGACATCAACCTTTCCCTTGCGATCGAGGATGCTTGTCCATCTGTCCACCGCAGTCAGCAGGTTGGTTATACAAGAGTAACCCTTCCTGAAACCATGCTGTTGGGGTGAGAAGAAATTTAAGGACAGTAGATAGTCGTTTAAACCGTCGCATATCAGGGACTCCATGAGCTTTGAAGGTACGGAGAGAAGAGCCACCGGTCGGTAACTTGAGAGTTTGCTGCGTCGACCTCCTTTGAAAATTAGTGTGATATGAGCCAACTTCCAATTTTCCGGTAATTTGCCTCGGCTAAGCGAGTGTGAAAACATCACGCTAAGCGGCATTGCCAGGATTGAGGCTGCCTCCCTCAGTATGGCAGGATGAACCATATCCGGGCCAGGAGAAGTGTCAAGTCTTAAGTGCTGCAGTTTCCGGAACACCAAGTCAGAGTTTAGGTCCACTTCAGAAAGTCCTGTGGAATTGCAGATGAAACTGTCGTCAATAAAGTTGATGTCAGGCGGTTGAAATGTTTGAGAGTAATGTGCCGCCAGAAAGTTAGCGGCGTCGCCGTCGTTATTGGTCGAGCCGTTAAGACCCACCAGTTGGGAAACTCCAGTTTTGGCTTGACGAAGAGAGGCTGCGTAACGGAATAGGCTTCTAGGGTTAGAGGCGAATTTGTCCATAAGCTTTGTTTGGTACTGAAGCCTGTCTTCTCTTATAGCCTTCGTGCATATGTTCCTTATATGTTTATATTGCCTATACGCTCCATCGTTATTAGTTCGTTTGTATTCCGCCCAACAGTGTCTTTTGCGGCTTAGCAGGCGAAGGGTACGGTTCTTGATTATTGTAGGTGGCTTGCAGCTTTTGGGGACCGTTTGAGGAACTGAATGGTCTGTAGCACATAAGAGCGTGTGCAGTAAGAAGTCCCAATGACCATCCACATCGAGTTGAGGGTGAACATCCAAAACCACCTGTTGTAGATAGTCGTGTAGAGCTGGCACATTCTGCCGTTTGAAATTCCAGCGCAAGTTGATGGTGAGATAACTTAGCTCACTTTTGCTGACAAAACTGAAGTCTATAACGGCGTGATCGCTTTTCCTCAGAAAAGCCAAGATTGAGAGGTTGTCAACTAGAAATGCTTCGTTTGTAAATACACAGTCTAAGCGCGACGGTTTCTGACTGTTTCTCCAACGAGTTGCCGACTTCACATTTTCGTATAATCCCAAATCCTCAATGAGGTTGAAGAACCGAGCTTCAGTTGAGTTTTCACCTCCACTATACGTATGTTCGGCGAAATTGACTCTAGGGAGATCGAAGTTCCCTAGAATCAGGATATGAGTGAAACCTAGACGCGTAGAGCGGGGTAGTGTTTCTAGCATACGACTGTCATACTCGATGTCGGCAGTGGACTTCCTTTATATGACTCCGACTAGGCACTTCGAAGTAGCAGACAATCTTACAGAGCACCATATGGATTCCTCAAGATTGTTAAACTCGCGATTGTGGACTTGGTGTACCTTCAAGCAAGATCGTATGTATGTGGCTGCTCCACCCCCAATTCCTGTTTTTCTGTCGTTGCGAAACAAAGACATCCCAGGTATTACTAGCTCCTGGTCCGAGAACTGAGAAGATATCCAAGATTCAGATATTCCTATCAGATGAACCTTATTAGCATTGCTAAGTTCACGTAGCTCATTCATTTTGTTTGGTAGACTCGCGGCGTTCATGTAACACTGTGGAGGTCCAATCTCGTTTTGAATATATCAACAGAAAGTACTAATATTACGTGTGCTGTTAGAGAATTCTAGTAATTCACTACTCGGTGAGAGAAGCGAAACGCCAGACGTAAACGATTTAATCTAGGTTTTTGAACTTTCTTCGAATGTCCTCTCAAATGATCAGTCCTAGACGGAAGTAAAAGATAAGACATGTTATTACCAAGGTCATCGTTCAGTATACGATAAACCAATATCAGATCACCCCGTATTCCACGGTAAGATAACTGAAATAACTTGATGTGTCTCAGTCTGTCATCATAAGATAGGCCAGATAGGTCTTTTACCATATTAGTCCCTCGGCGTTGGACTCTTTCCAGCAAATTGTTTATTTATTTATTTATTATTAGAAGCTTTATTCAACATTATATTTTTGATACAACATAGAATTCTCAGCATAAAATATTTCAACAAGTTTCCTTTTTTATATCTTGATTGATTGTGACGATAAATTTTGAATGATGACCAGTTAGATGTTAGGAGCTCGGTAATCCACATTTGATTAATGTTCATTCGTTTCAGTGCATATTGCCAGCCATCATGATTTCGCTGGTTGTACCTTTTTGTATCCCATATAGCGAAAGGTTGTAAACTTTTCATGATCGCGTCTAAATAGATTGCGAGCACAATAGACATAATGATGTGCTAAAACAAACAACAAAACAGATAACTTGATGAAATACCTAGATCGGAGGAACCCTGGGGCATTCCACTAAGCACAATGATACAAGACATAATAGCTTTTTCTATTCCGTCTGAGACTATTTGTACTACTTCGTCTGTTGTTTTAACTGACTCTGCGGACTGCAACAAGTTATGAAATACCTGTGTAGTTATGGCTGATGCTTCACATGTACAGTTTACTAACAAGTACGGACAAGTTCATGTAACTTTGGAGTCACTCCTTGATTCCACAGGTCTCATACCACATTCGTCTCTGCATGAATCAGTCAATAGTTCACTAACAGATATGAATTCTGTTCCTATTTTGAAATGTTCCATACCTCTCAATTACTGTTCTAACCAAAATTTGTATGCTTCGGAACAAATGTCAACTGAATTAAGTGAAAGTCCTTGTGTCACTGAATCTCAGAGGCAGGCATTATTACTAGATGTTTGCTTCGAACTCCTTAACCTTCTCAAGGAACAAGATGTCAATGGCTATTTTCTTTATCCACTACCACACCTCAAAGTGAGTCTTTCCATTCGATTCATAGGAAACAAGTTCGACTAGTCAATTTTGGTCGATTTCTTTAGTGCTTGAAAACATTTGGTAATGTTTGAAATGAGAGCTATCTTTATTTTGAGAACGGTCTCAATAAGTAGTAGTGCTTTTAGTTAACATCATGATTTGACTATTGCGGGTGATATATGGTACGTTTCACAGCTTCCCCTCTTTTCTGGTGTACAGGTTTTTAGGAAAAGTATTTGACTAGACTTAGTAGTTTTTATGATAATTGAAGTCATTCTAAAACCTAAATGATTTTGCTAATGCAACTTAAAGTTCTAGTCTTTTTTTGCTCTAAAGAGGACGCCAATTGATATTCACAGGAGCAGATCAATTCACTGTCCGGAAAGTTTATATTCAAAGCTTCACAGTGGTATTGTCTTTGGTTTTTCATTGACTTGCTCTTATGGCGGTAGTCCGTCGAGAGTAAAAAAAAAATTATTGTGGGTCATTAGTAAACAACGTAATATTGGCTGTTTAGTTTCAAGAATAAGGTAGCAATAAAAATGGATTTTCTGGCCTGCTGTTTTATTTGAACGTCATTGTAGTTCGTGAGGAGCTTTTCGATGACGAGCCTTTGATAGGACACCTGCTTCGGTTTAGGCACCCGGGCAGTATCATAGCCCTCACAAAAATCAAATGAGACTTGTGTCCCGTTGTACCAATATATATGTATAAAAATAAATAAATAATAATAAACTTCGATAGGACAAGACATGCGTACTAGACTTCACTGCTAGTCATATACCAAATATACTAAAAACTTGCTGCATAGCGCAATGAGACAGCGGAAACTCGTGCCTTGAGTGAATGGTTTTGGCATAGTTTTGTCATCTGAAGTAGATGGTTTAATCGTGGAACGTTTTCTGAAAAACATCATTAACACAAATTTCAGGTAGAAGTGAGGTATGCGAATCCATTTAAAGCAACCAAGCAAAATATGTAGACAACGGGTTGAATTTCAGCAATAACTAATTGGATTCATGATCAACAGTTCAAAATGTCAGCCATATGTGGGGAAATTCTAATACCTTACTTTACTAGCAGTTTGTGCTGACGTTTGACAGAATAACTAAAGCTTCACGAATAAACCATCCGTCCTAGAAAATGAAACTCTACCAAGAAGTAACGCCATTTCAATTCAATCTACGTCGAATACACGTATGCGAATAGAGACTGTTAAATTGCATTTATGGACATCAACAACTAAAAGCTACAAACGTAGTACGTTCACTGTTTTTGGAAATAATTGCTTGTACTACCTAATATCTGCAGCCATTTGTTTTCTAACATCATAAACCATTGGTAAGCACGCTTCATTTCGCCATACGAATGAGAACGACGGTTACGCATTAGTATCGTATTGGTTGAGTTTACATCTAGCTTTGTTGCAACCTGAGCCAACGTGACATCCGATTGATCTGTATATTAACTCGTATACTTCGTGACATAAGTCAGTACAGGTTCACAAGTTCAATGACCGACTTGTCTTTTGCTTAGATCTGTCCTTGAGGTTGTTAACTCTGTGGTCTCATCGCACACAGGTATTGTTTTTAAAATACCTAGTCGATTGTTTATAACCTTTGATTAGCTGTTTCGACTACGATGTAGTGCAGAACAGACTTCGTTCGGGCAGTTTTATTTAATTCGACAAATCATCATGCTGATAATTCGTGCTGGGATGTGTAGACGAGCTGATAATTCATTGAGATGAATTTTCAACTAGTTTAGTGAATTTATTTATTTATTTCGTTTGAGTAGTATTAGTTTAGTCTTATTCGGGGCAGATATTATTACATTCTCACCTGTTTTAATTGTTTTCTCTCTATTGCTGTTCATCAAGTTACATAAATGTATCAATGTTTCAAACTCATGTGAAAATCTTTTCAAATTATTTCCTACGTTACTTGTAGCCTTCATGTCCATTTGGATTACTGGACATAGAAAAGCAACTTTTCCAGAAATATTACAAAAGCCTGTCTGAGTTTCAAAAAGATGTTTCTGGACTACTCAATAGCGCTCTTCAATATTATCAAATTGAATCAATGGCTCATAATGAAGCTCAACGTTTGCTAAATCTAACCATTGATTGGTTTAGTTCATTAAATGTAAATTATGTCGCTATTTTAAATCGTCCACCAGACGGTGGAGTGACAGTTGATAGAAACTCGCAAGTCAAAACATCGGATAATAATGACGTTATATCTAAGGAGACCTATTTAAACATTTTAAATCCAGATAATAATGGTATTATCAGTAAAACAGAACGAGTTCAAAGTATTGGGGACGAGGTTTGTACTCACTTTATTAGCTTTTCATTTTGTTACCTCTGATTTAAAAGTGGGATATAACTGTACGAATTTGAGTAGCTCATCGATTTGAATCTTAGTCATGGTTAAATACTTTTTTTATCGATGAGTTAGATTTATTTGTGTGCCTTATTTATACAATAGTTTGGAAGCACTCTGATTAGGCCATCCAACCAACCAGCGCTAGCGGATAGTTGGAGAGGAATCTAGAATCTTCTGGTGGTTATAAATATTCTAACGTTTTCCTTCTTGTGATTCACTACCTGGGTTTTTTGGAATACAGTTACGTACCTGTCCAAACCGTGTTCTGATTTCGGTGACTAGTCGAGTAGTGTCCGAAGAATACTAGGCAATCAGAGTAGTCAGGCCGGTTAAAAAAGATTTGTTATATAATCATATAGCTTTTACACGTAGTTTCTAAATTTAAGTTTTAAGTATAAAGTATCGAGTTAAGCAGACTATTATGTTATTTCATAGTATTTACGGTAATTTTGTAATATCTGTGATCACAAGTAAAGTGGCGGTTGTCCGGTGGTTTCAGAACCCACTTCTCAACCATTGGGTTTAGGCTGAACAGATAAGTATTTTCGTACTTATTTTGCGTGAGTGAATGTAAATACCAGTGTCTTTACTGAAGCGGATTTGACATATTATCGATAGATAAGTACTTTATTTTAACCGTTGGTATTGTCTATTGATTTCTAATATTTTGTAAACTAGCCAAAATGCCTGAATTCTCAGCCGTAGAATTCCAGCAAGTCAATGTGGGTATAGTTTCTCCCAGGTGCCCCTCCTAATAAACATTCATTCTATGTTCATTAGATGGAAACCTGGCATATGTATATGAAGTTTTTCCCAGGATTTGTTTGCTGTAGATTTCTTTCAGTAAAAGGGATTCATATGTTTTTACAATCGAGCGAATCGAAGAAGTCTTTCATGAGGTGAATGATTAGTGCACCTTTGTGAAACTGCCGGTTCAAGTGGGAAATCAGCCCAGTTCGTTCAAGTTCATTGTTTAGAATATTTATCTTCAACAGTCATTGATAAAATATTAGACAAACCTGTCCTGCCGTACCTATCACCCCGGCATGGCAGTTGGGCTTGTATATCATGATGACTCAGGTGATGTATATTGGCTGGGAAATTCGTTCCTTTAGGTCCTATTGAACAAGTCAATAGGCGGTAATATGAGAAACAGTGAAGTTATGCTCCCAAATCTACGGGGGTGAGAAGACAGTGAGATGTTTCCCTTAGACAATAATCTTCAACAGCCATTCCACCTTTCGACTATGAAAGGAGTTAGAAATAGTCCAGATTAAAGACAACATACCTTACCTTTCTTTTATTTACATTGCTGGCGATAAGGCCCTCAAAATACAGATTTAACCCATTACTAATCATAAATGGTCATTTGTGACCATCTTCAAGCATTTATGCTTTGGGTTGTAGAGTCGCTATCCCAACACCCCAACTCAGTTCCTTTTTCAGGTCCCTCAAGAAGTTTCATTACACACGGATAATCAAAGAATGACAACCACCCTGATACTAACAACACTCGCTAACAGTAAGAAGGAAAATTGTATTTGTAATATCACAGGGATCGAACTTGAAATACATCTAACGTTTTTCTGGTCAATCTGGTCCAAGCTTTTTCAAGGAAATATAATCAAACATCAAGATTATCGAATATAGATAAGTACCTGGTCCTCCGACTAGCTGTAAACTAAACAGGTTATCTAATCATGTTAACAATGTTGAAAGTAAGAATTTGCTATAGTATGAGACATTAGGTGTGAAAAGGAGAGTGTGTTAAGATAACAGTTGTGTGTATTTGTAAGTAGATCTGAAATGGGAAAAAAGTCATTGACTATAGATCGCTTCTGGACAACGATTTTTAATGAAATCAGATAATTTTATGGATGATATGAGCCAAACATGTCACAGTACTGATAAAATAGTATCACTGCACTCAACAGAGTCCGGTCATACAATAAATTTTATTGATACAATTCTTCGAAAATTAATTAGTTCATACAAATGAGACTAACAGCTGAAGCGTACGCATGGGCAAATCTAAACAGAATAATAAGAGAGGTGGAATACAATTAGCGGTCACGTGGCATTTATTTTATTTTATTTGAACACATAAATATTGGTAGAAGAGGGCACCAAATATATATGCGCCACACCATATTTGTGTGTGTGAACTATGATACTGCGCGGGTGCCCAGACCGAAGCAGGTGGTTTTCTTAGGGGGCCACACCCGGAGTCTTCGACCTGAAGGTCTGATCCACAAGGCAGTGGAGCATCGTGAGGAGATGCAGTCCCATGGTAGCCGGTGACCAATGATTGGTTCATACGCCATTTGTTTCCAAGGGATACTGGAGCCCATGTGCACGATTGATTTAGTTTGGGATCCGGTTAAAGCGCCGGACATTCGCGTTTCGTCCTCTCAACTTCGTAAACAACACCCCTGTCACGAGAAGGTAGTGAGTAGGACTTCCCTGTCAGAGGCTGTATACGCGTGGCCGTGTGAGAGCATTTCGAGAGGGAGAGCGGACTCTCCCCACTCTCGACCGTACCAGGGCATTTGGGGGCGGTCACGTGGCAACTAATAAATACTCAGTAAGCCTGAACTCCGTACTACATTTTACTCCACCTATTCTACCGTTTATGTGGATAATAACGATTACTTTCACCTGTTCTTATCAGTTAGTTCATCTGAATATATGATGAACGATCAAATTGATCAAAATAATAACACAAACACTTATTTTATCAGTACTGTGACATGTTTGGCTCATATCATCCATAAAATTATCTGATTTCATTAAAAATCGTTGTCCAGAAGCGATCTATAGTCAATGACTTTTTTCCCATTTCAGATCTACTTACAAATACACACAACTGTTATCTTAACACACTCTCCTTTTCGCACCTAATGTCTCATACTATAGCAAATTCTTACTTTCAACATTGTTAACATGATTAGATAACCTGTTTAGTTTACAGCTAGTCGGAGGACCAGGTACTTATCTATATTCGATAATCTTGATGTTTGATTATATTTCCTTGAAAAAGCTTGGACCAGATTGACCAGAAAAACGTTAGATGTATTTCAAGTTCGATCCCTGTGATATTACAAATACAATTTCTCTCCCTAATGTCTTACGTTAACTTGGCGCCCAACTGCTGTGAAACTATCGGTTCAAATTCAGACAAGTTCTTATAGATTCGCTAACCTTGCACACCCTGAAATACCTTAGGTTCCTAATATCTCTCATCTTCTCACTATCGACTCTCCTGTTTTCAGCTTCGATTGTACGCGCTTCGGGTGCTAATGATTTGAGTTCAAAAAATATCCCAAGCCTCCTGAAACCGTTCTCCAAACTATCTTGAAGGTTTTCAGTGTCCCGACCCTATGTCAAATCAGTCAACAGACTTTAATAGCTCAGACTTGAGGATTTCATACCGTCAATATATATCTTATCTCCGAGAAATGTACAGAATCCTAGTATGAGCATTTAATTGGCCTTACTTAATCACTGTGGTAAACTAAGTTTACCCACTGTGTATTTGGAAACTCGACCGCAACTTCTCATAGTTTTATTGGTGTGGATATAGTGATAATTTTAAGACCATTTTATGAACGGGTTTCTGTCGACAGTCGCTTATAGATTGCTAGACTGAATGGGACAGTGAAAACTTGTAAAGGTATAACACATTTTTTTCGGTTCACTGACTTGAGTTAAAATGTATATTGTATCAGTTAGATACGCTTTGTTCGAGGTATTATTTGGCCTTTCTTGTCTGGTTCTTTTCAAGCCTGCAAGACTGGTTTTCCTTGTAAGCAAAATGAGCTTGATAATAGTTTTTAGATAATAATTACTTTCTCGATCTATAAGTTACCACGGCAGTTCTTTTTTTGCAATTTATTTATATAGGCAGGTCACTTGTATTCAGGTTCGTATTTACTTCCTAATGGTGGCTACCGAGAAGATCGACGCAATAAAATTATACCGTACACATACTTAGACTATGGCTCTTATTACTCATTTGCCCCAGTTTACGACAGTGGGGCTTCTCATTGCACTCCAGAGTCAAACCAATTGTTATTGGGAACCACATGGCTACCGGCACGTACTCCATTTGTACTTGGCAGCTGTTCGTCGAATAGTTTTGATTCATATAGTTGTGCAAATGATTTCGAGATCACAGATGAAATAATATCAACTGTCTTGGAAATGGGGGATCAACAGTTAGCTGTCTCTCTTGCGGTTGCAGAAAGTGAACAACGTGCGATAGCCCAATTATCATCTGAATTAGAAGATATCATTCCTGGTCCTGATGTACCTGACGAATTTGTATTTAGTATGTGTTTAGCTAATGCATTTACACGTGACCTTATTAAAAAGGAAGAGAAATTGTCTGCTTTCGATACCTTAGATTTGTGTTCAGAAGTCAATTCTGATGAAAGAAGTATCACATCTACAGATGTCAACAACTCTCCTGCTGCATGTGACTTAGATTCGGCTACTCATCATAACTCCATCGATTCAAGTGTACGTTCGCAGTCTGAAGAACAAAGTTAGTTACATTTTTAATTTTCATAAAGTCGATTATTTCAAGGAGTTGCTTGTGAACTGATATATTGGCGTCATCACCCTTAGCCTCCCTATAACCCACTCCTACGCCAGTAGTCGTTGTGCATTTAGTCGGTGGCTAGTCTCACGTAACATGTATCCCAATCACTCAGATCCATAAATGTTTGTAGTCTAACCAATCGATACACCATTTCTACTTAAAACTATGCTTCTAGTAAGTCTGTAATCAAATATTGCTAACCTACAGATGTATTTTGCTCCCATTAGGGATTTTTCATAACCACAAAGTACAAAAGTAGACTACTGAGCATTATATTGACTTACATTTACAGATAAATATCTCGCATGTGACAGGCGGTGAAAAGTGGAACAATCAAGATCTTTTTGTCCGAGGCTTCGTCAGAGATGAGAAAATCAGGTCCGAGGAGACTCCCATAAGTGAAGTGGTCAATTCACTCAGCTACTTAGGTTCCTATGGTCATAGCATAAGCTGACACAGATTAATCCTAAAACAACACTTTACATTCAGATGGATTACCCTTTCCAAACATTTTGGAAATCTTGGTAAAGTCATTGAAATAGCTTCATTTCTTCGTTATATTCACCAAACATGACTATCATCTGTGTTTTAGAGCACGAGATTAATCTCTAAAAAGTCAAACGAAGAAAGGGCCATCTCTACGATCATATTCTTTAAAGAACTTAACAAAAGCATAGAAAGTAGCAGTTTTGATAAACATCACTTAATGTGGTCAGTGCAGATAGCAATTTACTTTAATATTCAATCCGATAAATATGAGAGTAAAGAGAAATTCAAATTTCAAATACTCGATGACATGCTTGATTCCTTTCCACATACTTTGTCTTGAGAAGTCGAATAATGGGCACAGGTAAACCTTTCATAATGCTGGTGAGACTATACTACTTGATAATTTTTGTATAGAAGAGGAAGTCTTGTACTTGTGGAGTTTCGTTCTCTGTGCTAGTTGGTTTAGTTTTGGAGCTTCCATTATTCTTCTGAACATCATCAGCACAAACTTCTACCATACAACTCAGAGGACGAAATTCCATCAAAATCATCGACCTGAGCTACAATCTCTTCCACCATCTCGAGGTCTTGTACTTATTTTCTAGATAATAGGAGAGTTGTAACGTGTACGTTTATATATATAACTGCCAAATAAACGCTTTCTACCATGAAAAATATTTGTTTGATTTCCATTAGGTATTGCTGATGATGCTAAGCAATTGAGTACAGAACTAGTTGAATCTGCCCAAGATTTAAATGCACTTTATTGCTCACAATATTTGAGACTTGGTGACACTTCTCAGGCTGCAAATCTAGGCTCAACACTGCGACCAACTCCAAATGAAATGTCCATCGCCCATAGACTTACTGAAAAGCTGATTAAGCTGACGAAACGTGCTCGTCCAGGGGATCTCATCCATCCATATACGGTAAGAAAAGCGATGGGTTTGAATCCAGATGAGTATTTTTTACCGGAACATTTAATTTCAAGTGATAATTTTGTGAATAGCGCGCAAATGTAAATATATATAAACATAAATGTATACATATTTATCTTGTAATTTAAGTTGTTAGTTTGTTTGATTGTTATGATTTCATCAATTTATTGTGTATAAAGTTAAAACAAAATTTTTCTATTTATTCGAGTTCACAAAAATAAGTCTTTATTTCTTTTAAGCAGTCATATAATATGAATGAATGTTGTGCTAAGGTGTTGTTCTCAGTCTGTCTTGTAAGCAATATTTACACTTTTCTTCAAAATTTTGCTTATTTTTAAAATAGAAATTGTATATCTCATAAATATACTCTGAATCACTGTATATAAATCATTCCTACAACTTCGTTTCTTTTTCAATTTCTAATAAATTACAGTTATAATATAAAATTTTCTTGTGCATTTTGTTTTCATTTGAAAATCGAAAAAATTTCTACAAAATCTGTTCATCTGGTGAAGTGTTATGCTCTGTTTTAATGGTTTACTGTTCAGCTTATTAACAAAATATTATCCGAGTTCTGTTTCATATGATAAATATGTAACAAAAACATTGACTTAGTTTTGTTGTTGAAAGTAACGATGACCTACGTAAGACATAATTTTCAAAGTCTGGTATTCAGCAGTCAGTGATTTGGGTCCCAAAACTTGATTAATGTGTAATTTTGTATAAGTGATGTTGACATGATGTGGCTTGAAACTTATGATTTTAAGCAGTACATTTTTCTTTGTTGAACTTATACATCTGAACAAACCTTTCTTAGTGTCTTGGTTTGCACTAAAGTATTATTTTCCAAACGTTTCGTGCTTTTTGCAGGACGTTAAATTCAGTTCTTTTTTTTACAGAACTCACTAGTTGCTGATTTAGGGAATCGACTTAGCATCAAGTAGTCAAGAAGTGTAGCACTATCCCATCTATTGTAGCAAGGTAGCATCCACTTGAAATCTTGTCTTTATTTCAGAAATGCTGTTCAAAGCTTAGCAATAAGTCGGAGACCTATTATGCGTTGAGTTTCTTTTTAGTACTGAGTTAAATTGAATTGATGTAGAAAGCATCCGTCAAAAGATTTAAAGCAAATTTGAGTGCCGTATTTTTCATGATATTTCGATTCCTCAATGGTTTGAAGAAGTGGAGAATAAGATATATTTCGACGATTCGTGGTGAATAAGGCGTCTGAAATACGTCTCATAAAAAGCTACTTTACTGATTAGTATGAGACTTTGTTATTTTCAAGCAACGACCACCTAGTTCTTAAGCGTTTCTGACATTTAGAGCTTTGCGATTAGGAGCTGTAGACTGACACTGATTTTTCCCAAAGAAAATCGTCACTTTATTTTAGAGTGAACAACATGTTACTATTGGTAGCTGTCACCCTCTAAGATCAATCGTAACAATTCGTAACTAAATTATATCCAGTCCATTGGAATGCTTACTAATCCTGTCTTACAAAGTAATAGGGTGGATTCGTAAACGAAGTTCACTAAGTGCTGACAGTTCGTGGCACTTATTCCACAAGTAGCTGAAGTTCTCGTGAACCGTACTGGGTTTATTGACTGATTTAGTGAAAATTTTGTGGCGACAGTTTCATTTACTTGGGTAACTATTTCAGACACCAGGAACCACTGTCCAAAGTTTTCTTCACAACGCTTATCTCAGATTATTTGAGTAGAGTATTAAAATAGGTTTGTTTTAGGAGCATGAATCTTGGTGAAATCTGATTTCATTAAAAATGCTTTATTTGTACGATCGAAGTGACAAGTAACGGTAATCGTAAAAGCATTTTAAAAAATGTCTGAAACATTTAAGAGAATTTTATTATATTTATTGACCACACAAAAGAGAGAATGGAAGTTGTCAGTGGTAAATATAGATGTATATATTTTTATAATAACTATATATCTTTAAACCATAATTTGTATCTGTGTCGTGTATTTGCTCTTTGACATGAAGAAAGATGATATTGTACCCATCTACGTGTTTTGCCTTCACACTTCGCATGATATGTACAAACATTCCACCTTTTAAAATCAGAATATTAAGAATATTGTTTGAAACGGCTTGGAAGAATAAAAAAGGTTAATGTTGAAAAACAATATCGTCAATGTTTTCTGACTTAATAAAGACTTAAATATTACTTTGAAATAATCATTTATGTATTATTTGCTTTGTTATTATAAATAAGAGTAAAATTAACTATCGTTGAAAAATGTGTTAATTGAAACTAAAGTTACAACCTTAGTGAATGGTTTTGAGTGTCGACTAGTTATTGTCAGTCGAATAAAGATAATCATACTTTTGTTGTTTCTCACTTCATTCAGACTACTTACACCTGTTACCCCTCGTATAGGAGCATAGGTCACCCACCAGCACTCTCCGTCCAGTCCTGTCCTGGGCAATTCTTTCTAGTTCTTTCCAGTTGCTATTCATCCTTTTTATGTCTGCTTCCAATTCTCTGCGCAGTGTGTTCTTCGACCTTCCTCTTTTCCGCCCCCCTTCAGGATTCCAAGTTAGGGTTTGGCTCGTGATGCAGTTTGGTGATTTCCATAGTGTATGTTCTATCCACTTCAAACTCCATTTCTTGATTTCCTCAGCTGGGAGCTGGTTTGTTTTTTCCCACAGCAGGCTGTTGCTGATGGTATCCGGCCAACGAATATTGAGTATCTTGTGTAGACAATTGTTTGCAAATACTTGTACGTTTTCGATGAGGGTTGTAGTAGTTCTCCACGTCTCAGCTCCGTACAGTACTGCTGTCTTGACTTCATCCAAACAACATTGTGATATTAGATAAATCAATATTCGATGATAGCAGGGTTTAAGGATATATTTTGTAATTAACCATGTCGAATAGATTTGATAAATGTTTAAATGGAGTCGTGAATACTTGAGCTAAATTTAATGTTACAATTTTTCTTAGATAAATTGCGTACAATGATAACTGTTGTTCCTTTATTTTATGTTTCCAGGTCATTACTATAATGTTTATTATGAATGTTTGGGAAACTTAATTTGTGTAACTTTTTTCAATATAAACCTTACTAAACTATGAAGAGTTCATTTTGATCTTGTTACAGATACTTCGCTGTTTATTGATTAGAAATATGATTTAATGGATACAAATTGTTTTGACAGTTCAGAATATCTGGAAAGTTTGTTGACGATTTAAACATTTTTATTCTGATATTTTGTAAGGTTTACTAACATATTTGGTATTTTAGTCAGTGAATTCATACAAGTTACAATTCCGATATCTTCACTAAATGGTAAAGATTTTTAGTCTAGGTGAACACTTTCAGTGTTGATTTATTATTAGAGGTCGATGATTCAAATGAATATTTTAATCATTTCTAGTCATCAGGACAGAAGTATAGCAGTTTAACATCAGTTCGAGAAAAGAAACTCATGTAGTACAATTAGTTTTGATGGACTATAGAGAAACTAATTGAGTGTCATTTCCTAACGCGAGCGATATTTGAAAGACTGTCGGTACTTTTGTAGATTTCGGATCTCAACAGTTGATTTTCTTACATTGATTAGACCGACGCATAGTTGTTTGATTGTAGTATTTGTTATAAAGTCATCTTTAACCATGTATATCGACTTCAGATTAGTACATAAAAATAACTAAGTAGAATATTTAATCCTATTTCGTCCTTATTACCTACGCAACATCAAACTTTGCTAATGTATTAGGGCTAATTAATATGCTGTTGCTATTAGCATTTGACCCTGCAGCATAACACGCTCAAACATACCTTGTATTCAAATTGTAACGTACTATGTAAGTTATAGAACTATTCGGAAAACAGAAAGAAAAATTCAGTCGCAAGAGTGTCTTTAAAAACTAGAGATCATCGGTTATTTAGTTTCACTAGTGTATGACATTTATTTCACCAGACTATTAATTGAATGATTTCGATCCAAGGAAAAATAGGTGGGACAAATTTTTAATTATTTAGTTTAGATACAAAGAATAGTCTGACATGTCATGGTTGAGTTTTTCTATATATACTGCTGTAGCTCTTTGGGATCCTGGGACGATTAGTTTTATTAGATACCAGATAAGGAGTGAACTGTTATAAACCGTGGATAATCAAGAGGTGCTTTATTCTAGTTTTGGATTCTTCCGTATTGGGAACTCTACTCAAGGTAGGAGTCATAACCTTCAGGTCCCACGTGGAACGCATTAATTCTGGACCTCTGAGTCATAATTCAATTATTTCCATCTCCAACATTGATTAATTCGAAATAACCATGACAATCCAATTCCACCTAGAATACCTGTTTGACCTCATAAATCGTTGAACTACTTGATTTTCAAATATCTCGTGTTAGTAATTGTTTGCCGATTACTTAAAAACCAATTATGCTCTATCTAAGTAATAAACAGAATATGTCAGCCATGTTTAGTACTTTGTACAAATATCTTTGAGTAATCTTCAAATTCTCTAAATGATGTACTAGCTGCGGTTATCATTTTTATTTACAAAGAGTATAGGAGGCTGGGATAGCTTTGAAAGTGGAACCTTTGATCACATGAACATAATAATTACTGGTATAATTTAATCACAAAGATCATACTTACATTCGACAAAGACCACCTGCTAAGCTATAGTGGTAAACTTTGTGTACTGATGGCCGGTAACATGGTTTTTGACGACATACTCTTCTGCATGTTTTTCTTTGTTCACCTTCTTTTTCCTTTGTCGTCTTTGTTTGACATAGGTATTGACACTTGATCCCGCATGCACATCGAATTTGTTTTTGAGAAAATGTATGTATTTGTTGAGGTTTGCAAACTTAAAAACAGTGTATAGGAAAAGAAGTTATACTTTAATGAACAGCTCACAAAATAGTGATATATTATACGTAGTTATCTTATCCGTTCATTAAATGGCTTAGTGTTGTACAAAAGAATTCAGTTTCCACTAAACATATCAATTCAAGCCTTAACTTACATTTTGGAATTCGCTACATTGACATATTCATAATAGACAGATGGGGAAAACCTAGAATGTTTAAGATGACAATTACACTCTACAGCAGTCAGCCACTTAGTGGACGGAGAAATATCTTGAAACGTCGGACACCATACACTTATTGGACATTAAAATACGTATGGATAATATCATACTATAGTGAATATTCTTCCTAGCTAACGACTTAAATGTAATTTTTGATTCTTATTTGTTAGATTTTGGAGATTGGTTAGTACAGATAATGGTATATAAGTTAAAGTCATGTATCTTATCACTGTTTTACATAATATCAATATTGAATAATCTCATAACTAAAATGTACTTCAGATTGTACATCTGTTTTAAGAAACTAAATACTCATACTCTAATTCTTTTATCTTCTCTTTCTGAAACAGTTTAGTAAGTTAACTGAAATATACTTTAAGATAAAGTTTCTAATCGTTTTTTGTTGAAAATCTTAGCTTTTCATTAGTTTAAAGAAAAATTATCTTTATGTAAGTATTGCAAGCCGAATACTTCGGATGTGACTCATTAATTACTCAAATAGATTTAATCTCTATTTGATAATCCAC